AAGCATATACGTATAAAGATACACAACATATCCCTCCAAACTGCCAATATCCCAAAACCCTCCTTTAAAGTGCAGGCATTGTACTTCCCATTTCCAGGACTCAAGTCCGACTATATGAAAATAACCGGTTTCCCTGAATCCCTTCACTAAATATTACCCTGCTCACACTCCAACAGATCGTCAGGTCCCAAGTACCATTCGTCTCCATCCGTTCCTATCTAACACGCTTACACACTTCGCCCGCACCTCCTTTACCCCCTCCCTCCAACCTTTTCAAGGACAGCCCCTACCCCACCTTCCTTCCCCTACAGATTTATATGCTCTCCATGTCATTCTGCTTTGATCCATTCTCTCTAAATGACCAAACCACCTCAACAAACCCTCTTCAGCCCTCTGACTAATACTTTTATTAACTCCACACCTTCTCCTAATTTCCACACTCCGAATTTTCTGCATAATATTTACACCACACATTGCCCTTAGACAGCACATCTCCACTGCCTCCAACCGCCTCCTTGCTGCAGCATTTACAACCCAAGCTTCACACCCATATAAGAGTGTTGGTACTACTATACTTTCATACAGTCCCTTCTTTGCCTCCATAGATAACATTTTTTGCCTCCACATATACCTCAATGCACCACTCACCTTTTTTCCTTCATAAATTCTATGAGTAACCTCATCCTTCATAAATTCATCCGCTGACACGTCAGCTCCCAAATATCTGAAAACGTTCACTTCTTCTATACTCCTCCTCCCCAATTTGATATCCAGTTTTTCTTTATCTAAAACATTTGATACCCTCATCACCTTATTCTTTTCTATGTTCACTTTCAACTTTCTACCTTTACACACACTCCCAAATTCGTCCACTAACCTTTGCAATTTTTCTATAGAATCTCCCATAAGCACAGTATCATCAGCAAAAAGTAACTGTGTCACTTCCCATTTTGTATTTAATTCCCCATAATTTAATCCCACCCCTCTCCCAAACACCCTAGCATTTACTACTTTTACAACCCTATCTATAAATATATTAAACAACAATGGTTAAGGTAGTAGGTTGGTAGACAGCAACCACCCAGGGAGGTACTACCGCCCTGCCAAGTGAGTGTAAAACGAAAGCCTGTAATTGTTTTACATGATGGTAGGATTGCTGGTGTCTTTCGTCTGTCTCATAAATATGCAAGATTACAGGTATGCCTTGCTACTTCTACTTACACTTAGGTCACACTACACATACATGTACACGTTTATTTATACACACTCATCTGAGTTTTCTTGGATTTTATCTTAATAGTTCTTGGTCTTATTACTTTTCCTTTTATATCCATGGGGAAGTGGAATAAGAATCTTTCCTCCGTAAGCCATGCGTGTTGTAAAAGTCAACTAAAATGCCGGGAACAATGGGCTAGTAACCCCTTTTCCTGTAAAGATTACTAAAAAGAATAAGAATAAGAAAATTGTCAAAGTGGGAAGTCTGAATGTGCGTGGATGTTGTGCAGATGATAAGAAATAGATGATTGTGGATGTTATGAATGAGAAGAAGCTGGATGTCCTGGCTTTAAGTGAAACAAAGCTGAAGGGGGTGGGAGAGTTTCAATGGAGAGGAATAAATGGGATTAGGTCAGGGGTTTCAAATAGAGTTAGAGCTAAAGAAGGAGTAGCAATAATGTTGAAGGATAAGCTATGGCAGGAAAAGAGGGACTATAAATGTATTAATTCAAGGATTATGTGCAGTAAAATAAAGATTAGATGTGAAAAGTGGGTTATAGTAAGCGTGTATGCACCTGGAGAAGAGAGAAGTGTAGAGGAGAGAGAGATTTTGGGAAATGTTGAGTGAATGCGTGGGGAGTTTTGAATCAAGTGTGAGAGTAATGGTGGTTGGGGATTTCAGTGCTAAAGTGGGTAAAAATGTTATGGAGGGAGTAGTAGGTAAATTTGGGGTGCCAGGGGTAAATGTAAATGGGGAGCCTTTAATTGAGCTATATGTAGAAAGAGATTTGGTAATAAGTAATACATATTTTATGAAAAAGAGAATAAATAAATATACAAGGTATGATGTAGCACGTAATGAAAGTAGTTTGTTAGATTATGTATTGGCGGGTAAAAGGTTGATGGGTAGGCTCCAGGATGTACATGTTTATAGAGGGGCAACTGATATATCGGATCATTATTTAGTTGTAGCTACAGTTAGAGTAAGAGGTAGATGGGAAAAGAGGAAGGTGGCAACAACAAGTAAGAGAGAGGTGAAAGTGTATAAACTAAGGGAGGAGGAAGTTCGGGTGAGATATAAGCGCCTATTGGCAGAAAGGTGGGCTAGTGCAAAGATGAGTAGTGGGGGGGTTGAAGAGGGTTGGATGAGTTTTAAAAATGCAGTATTAGAATGTGGGGCAGAAGTTTGTGGTTATAGGAGGGTGGGGGCAGGAGGAAAAAGGAGTGATTGGTGGAATGATGAAGCAAAGGGTGTGATAAAAGAGAAAAAGGTAGCTTATGAGAGGTTTTTACAAAGCAGAAGTGTTATAAAAAGAGCAGAGTATATGGAGAGTAAAAGAAAGGTGAAGAGAGTGGTGAGAGAGTGCAAAAGGAGAGCAGATGATAGAGTGGGAGAGGCACTGTCAAGAAATTTTAATGAAAATAAGAAAAAATTTTGGAGTGAGTTAAACAAGTTAAGAAAGCCTAAGGAAAGTATGGATTTGTCAGTTAAAAACAGAGTAGGGGAGTTAGTAGATGGGGAGAGGGAGGTATTAGGTAGATGGCGAGAATATTTTGAGGAACTTTTAAATGTTGAGGAAGAAAGGGAGGCGGTAATTTCATGCACTGGCCAGGGAGGTATACCATCTTTTAGGAGTGAAGAAGAGCAGAATGTAAGTGGGGGGGGTACGTGAGGCATTACGTAGAATGAAAGGGGGTAAAGCAGCTGGAACTGATGGGATCATGACAGAAATATGTTAAAAGCAGGGGGAATATAGTATTGGAGTGGTTGGTACTTTTGTTTAATAAATGTATGAAAGAGGGGAAGGTACCTAGGGATTGGCAGAGAGCATGTATAGTCCCTTTATATAAAGGGAAAGGGGACAAAAGAGATTGTAAAAATTATAGAGGAATAAGTTTACTGAGTATACCAGGAAAAGTGTACGGTAGGGTTATAATTGAAAGAATTAGAGGTAAGACAGAATGTAGGATTGCGGATGAGCAAGGAGGTTTCAGAGTGGGTAGGGGATGTGTAGATCAAGTGTTTACATTGAAGCATATATGTGAACAATATTTAGATAAAGGTAGGGAAGTTTTTATTGCATTTATGGATTTAGAAAAGGCATATGATAGAGTGGATAGAGGAGCAATGTGGCAGATGTTGCAAATATATGGAATAGGTGGTAAGTTACTAAATGCTGTAAAGAGTTTTTATGAGGATAGTGAGGCTCAGGTTAGGGTGTGTAGAAGAGAGGGAGACTACTTCCCGGTAAAAGTAGGTCTTAGACAGGGATGTGTACTGTCACCATGGTTGTTTAATATATTTATAGATGGGGTTGTAAAAGAAGTAAATGCTGGGGTGTTCGGGAGAGGGGTGGGATTAAATTATGGGGAGTCAAATTCAAAATGGGAATTGACACAGTTACTTTTTGCTGATGATACTGTGCTTATGGGAGATTCTAAAGAAAAATTGCAAAGGTTAGCGGACGAGTTTGGGAATGTGTGCAAAGGTAGAAAGTTGAAAGTGAACATAGAAAAGAGTAAGGTGATGAGGGTATCAAATGATTTAGATTAAGAAAAATTGGATATCAAATTGGGGAGGAGGAGTATGGAAGAAGTGAATGTTTTCAGATACAGTGGACCCCCGGTTAACGATATTTTTTCACTCCAGAAGTATGTTCAGGTGCCACTACTGACCGAATTTGTTCCCATAAGGAATATTGTGAAGTAGATTAGTCCATTTCAGACCCCCAAACATACACGTACAAATGCACTTACATAAATACACTTACATAATTGGTCGCATTCGGAGGTGATCGTTATGCGGGGGTCCACTGTACTTGGGAGTTGACGTGTCGGCGGATGGATTTATGAAGGATGAGGTTAATGATAGAATTGATGAGGGAAAAAAGGTGAGTGGTGCATTGAGGTATATGTGGAGTCAAAAAACGTCTATCTATGGGTGGTAAATGCAGCAGCGAGGAGACGGTTGGAGGCAGTAGAGATGTCCTGTCTAAGGGCAGTGTGTGGTGTAAATATTATGCAGAAAATTCAGAGTGTGGAAATTAGGAAAAGGTGTGGAGTTAATAAAAGTAATAGTCAGAGGGCAGAAGAGGGGCTGTTGAGGTGGTTTGGTCATTTAGAGAGAATGGATCAAAGTAGAATGACATGGAAAGCATATAAATCTATAGGGGAAGGAAGGCGGGGTAGGGGTCATCCTTGAAAGGGTTGGAGAGAGTGGGTAAAGGAGGTTTTGTGGGCGAGGTGTTTGGACTTCCAGCAAGTGTGCGTGAGCGTGTTAGATAGGAGTGAATGGAGACGAATGGTACTTGGGACCTGACGATCTGTTAGAGTGTGAGCAGGGTAATATTTAGTGAAGGGATTCAGGGAAACCGGTTATTTTCATATAGTCGACTTGAGTCCTGGAAATGGGAAGTACAATGCCTGCACTTTAAAGGAGGGGTTTGGGATATTGGCAGTTTGGAGGGATATGTTGTGTATCTTTATACGTATATGCTTCTAAACTGTTGTACTCTGAGCACCTCTGCAAAAACAGTGATAATGTGTGAGTGTGGTGAAAGTGTTGAATGATGATGAAAGTATTTTCTTTTTGGGGATTTTCTTTATTTTTTTGGGTCACCCTGCCTCGGTGGGAGACGGCTGACTTGTTAAAAAAAAAAAAAATGGTGACATTACACATCCCTGTCTAAGACCTACTTTTACCGGGAAGTAGTCTCCCTCTCTTCTACACACTCTAACCTGAAACTCTAATATAAATTTTAAGTACAGGTTATTGATAATTGCAGGTAACATCATTGCTACAGAACATTCTTCATTCTACACAAAATTACAAAGAAAGTCTTCAGTTAGCAGATATTATTGCTTCAGAGCAGCACCAGCTCTACAAGGTAGGAAATATTGAGTAAATTTGTTGGTTAGAAAATTACTGTATTAAGACAATCACATAGATGCCTGTACATTTCTTACCTTTAAGTATAGTACAGTACATTAAAGTGAAACCTTACTTAGCATTTAAAACTAATTCTTTTCAACTATACCATACTTAGTTTTCAAAATGTGTTACTGTATAAAGATATTTCTGCAGTGGAGGAAGGAGGTGCCACTAAGAACAACTTCAGTTCATTTCCACCATAACTCACCTCTCTAGGACCCAGTAAGTTCTACCTCACATTTCTACATTTAGTGTAGCCTCCTCCTGCCTCTGTATGTCATTACTTGTGGCTAGTGACATCTAGGGCATCATGGTAATATGCTAAACAAATGAATTTGAAGGATGAAAAATGCATTTTTATATAAGACCCCTGAGAGCCTATGGATTCTGCTACTTATCCTTGCTGTTCAGTCCTAGTTGCCCACTTGTAATCTAAGAGTGGCAGTGGATGTTTGATGACACTGGTCACAATTTATAAATAATGCCCTGTGGACAGAAGTGGGAGACGGCTACATTGAGTGTAAAAATGCGTGATAGACACTAAAGATATAAAGGTAAGCATTACTGTAAAATTGTGTAAGTTGTGTTTCTAATGAACCCTCAAGGCCTTTTAGCATAAATACATTAAATTTAGTTAATATACACATACATTAATTTGGTGTATATTATTTAGCAAGAGTCAGTAGACCTCTTGCACTGCTCCTCCAGCTTACGTGAAGGTCAGGTTAGAGACCAAAGGGGCTCTGCAACAAGCCTACTGACACTAACATACATTCCAAATTTATGTGCATTTATAATTCTATGTATTAGCATTTGAAAATTTATCATATGTTGATTTACTTATCATTGATAATTTTCTACTGCATTAATAATTAGACTTAGCATTTTCAAGCTTGTATTTGGAGAATTTTGAAACTGCAGTTCATTTGTAGCATTGTTTTTCAGGCCTTTGGTACTTGTGAGCTTCAGCGATTCTTGGCGAAGCTTCAGGAAACATCGAGGGAACTCCTAGATCGTAACTGTGATGCTTTAGGTTATCCACTTCAGTAGAGTATCTTCTTTATGATGTAAGAAATAAAACCAAAAGATGTAGGAAGTGACTTGTGTTTGTGTATTCCCTTAGCCATAGTAATGGCAGTGCATACAATATTGCACTTATGCATTTTGTTACTGTCATAGAAATCATTGGCAGATTGTGTTTATAACTCGCTATATACTAAAACATTAAATACAGAAACTTGAACTGTAACATATTTTCAAAGAAGAAATTTTGTAATTACTACATATAAATAGGTTTGCCCTTGCTTTATGCAGTTTTGTTCTATGTGGGTTTTGCTTCGTGGAAATTCACTTTCATGTAATGACCCTGTTTCAGTCAGTAATTCACTAGGTGTATATATTCACTGTTTTTTCTTATCGAGACCAGTACCAGTTGATATTATAAATATCTCTCTATACATATTTATGTTTATAAAAAAGAAATAAAAGAAAGAAGAGAAATTTGGGCATGGGAAATCTAAAGAGCATATTTTGAATGAAGCTCTATGGCTGGTTTTCAACTTAAGATTTGCATCAAGTCAATAAAATGGCACACAGCGAAATGAAGTTAAGTGACGCCAATTCGAATTTGAGACTAGGGTGGAGAGGAGTAAGAAGAAAGAAAAGTGGGGGGCTGTATATTCACAGGTTTATAACATACATTTCAGTCCAGACAAAGACAGGCTGGTTGACCAGTGAAAGAGGAGGAAGAAGGGTAAAAGGCAGGAGGATTATGATTGAATTTTGGATTTTATTTTTTATTAGGTATTTATGAACCAAAATCATTTCTTGAATATGTCTATCTGGTGCTTATTTGATGTGCTCATTATTTTTTGGTAAAAAATAATGAGCACTTTTGCAGAGCACTTTGGCTCTGCTAAATGTATAGGGATTATGATTGAGTTTTTTCTCTAATTGTTTTTGGACCAAATTCATTTCTTTTTTGTATGATTATGTGGTATAGGTATTATTATTATAATAAAAAAGAAGCGCTAAACCACAAGGGCTATACAGCGTGGTATAGGTATGGTAAGCTCATTTTCTCTAAAAAAAGTAGAATTTGCACAGAATCTGAACTTATTCCCATGTAATGTTTGATTTACTCTATAGTATTTCACTTTGTGCCATCGGCCAGGAACACTGCTATTGCATAAAGTGAGGGACACCTTGATGTTGAAACTGAGCAAAAAAATTCTTACATAAAAGGTAAAGCTTTTTTGTCTTTATACACCATATTTGAGAAGTAAATCTGATTTTGATGTCAGCACATCTCTGGTAAGATGACAATTAAGTGAATGTTTTCTTGGTGGGCAGTGGTCTTCAGGTTAAAAAAAAAAAAATATATTAACAACTATTACTACCCTTTACCAATTTTGAGTAACTTTTTTTTTTTTTTTTTTTTTTCTTGCTTTCTTTCTTTCTTTCTTTCAACAAACTTGCTGTGTTCTGTTCATATTCAGTGTTATATTTTGACTTCAAGAAATGTTATAGAACTTTGTAAGTTCAATGAACTGGTTTTTACCACAAAAAGTTTTATAATTTGGCTATGTACTTTATGAAAAGAATGAAATAACATTCAGGGGAGGTAAATTTATTTGTCTGAAAGAGCTTATGTTCACCCTTAGCATATTTTTTAATACTTGTAAGATATTTTTAATGTTCAGATGTTTGTAATAAAATATTTACAATTACTTCATACAAATTTTATTTTCAACTGTAATTGCTCCTTTTTAATGGTGTCATTCAATGAGCTTAGCATGTCACCCCAACCTTTGTGACACCAGCAAAGTAATTAGCTATTTGGAATTATCTGTTTCTGTACATTGATTTTGATGAACTATAAAAGAATCACTACCTGTCAGCTTAACTTTAACCATTTCACTGTCGAGGCCCCTGCTTGCAAACTTGCTCTCAGTGTCGAAGAATCAAAAAAAAAAAAATTCTTATGAAATGATAGAATCTTTTCCCGATGGTAATGAAACCAAAAGTACAAAATTTGATGGAAAACTTACAGGATTATGCTCTCGTGAAATTAGCAGTCTCGGCAATATTTACGCATCGGCAATTTCGCCCACTTTGAGCCCTATTTTCGGTCAATTTCATTGTTCCATCCAACCAAACTCGTAGCTATTTTTCTAGAACTCTAGTTGCTTTCCATTTTTAATTTTTAGTCACACAAAAAATAGAAGATTTACTTTTATGCAGACTACTGCATTATTGTAAAAATGGTATAAAAATAGCACATTCGTGAAAATATATTAGACACACCATTTGATGTGTATTGGACACATGACATGATTTGTTCACTCTTGAACATCCGAAAAACCAAACATTTCCGCTACTTTGAGCTCAGTTTCAAAGTACTTTTAGTCTAAACCATTCAAAGTCATCTCTATTTCTGTAATATATCTTCCATTCTGTCAAATGAGACCAAGAAAACGAGAATACAACCATAAACACCCTACGAAAATACACTGCAAAGCTGCTGTTTTAAACCAAAAGCACAGTCATAGTTTTTTTTCCTCATTATGCACTACATGCTGTAGGATTTTTTTATACTGCACACACTGATCACTCAGACCCATTCTCTCATGTGTAGGCCTACCGACTATCTCCCACAACACTGGAGGCCGATAGAATTTTGGCGTAGTATTACGTGACCGACACTGGCTTGCAAGCCATAATATTACGGAACCGACATTTAAAGGGTTAAAACATTATTTTTACACCTACCCCATTTTCTTTGAGCCATGTATCTTTCCCCTATATCTAATGAATTTGTGCTTTTATTTGTATCCGGACCGTTACATTGGACAGGGCTCTAGTATCGACTTTGTAAATGGTCCAAGTTGGACCGAAACGTTGTCGTAAGCTCCTCGCTTCTATGTGTGGGTTATTTGTGTGTGGTTCCAGTCACGGTATTGTGCCTTTTTGTTATTTTCGCACTAGAAACCATTCAGGAAATACATCCCCCTTCCCTTCTTGTTTGGTATGGGCCAGTCTTTTACCAGCTGCACAACAGGGCAGATAGGCAACATGCCTAGAGTCCAGGACAACATTGTACCAGGCTCAATTATTTCTTTACAATAGATTTTGTGAATATAATAATTATAATCCTCTATGAAAAAGGAACATGTTAATATACAGAGTTTCATGCATAGGTTTCCTCTCGAAGGAGGTTCCTTGACACTGGTGAGGGGCTCTTGATCTAGGGAATTGGATCTGTGCTCCAGTTCCCTGAATACCTTCCATTCCCCCACCCTGCACATACACTGTATAATCCTATGGGTTTAGTGCTCCCCATGATTATAATAATCATCCATAGGGCTAAAGAAACAATAAACCATGTGTTTTTTTTTTTTTACCACAAGGTAGGGTGACCCATAAAACAAAGAAACATTCTTCATTATTTTAAAGTTGTTGTCTTGCCAGAAGTGCATGAACATCACAGTTCAATTGGCCCTATAAGTTGCAACATCCCCATCCATCCTTCAAGCACTATACCTCCCATTTACAAGCTCGAGTCCAGCTAATTGGTTTACCTAAACGACTTCATAAATGTCACCTTGCTCATGTGTCAGCATTACTACAATCAAAACTAAGTGCTAAACCCAAAAGGGTCATACAGTACTGTCATATGCTGCCAGCAGTATGGCAAATTCCTAAAAAAAAAAAAAAAAAAAAAAAAAAAAAAAAAGTTTCCAATCCCTCAGATCTAACATGGCTACTGGATATTCAAGCCCCTAAACTCTGAACATATTCTTATCTATCCCTTGTTGGTTTAGTGCTTTCTCTGATTATAATAATATTCTTATCTATCTAGAGACCCCTAAACTGTTCTTCAGTGTTTCAGCTTTAAAGCCGCAAGCTGGATGTATTTTTAGTTTTGCAATATTTTTTTCAGTACATGTACAGAGATATCTTAAATGAAATATCTCAATCTTTTAGACATGATAATCATTTCAGAAATAGGTGCTGTAAGATAATACCTTCCAAGGAAGGTTTCCTGAGGTTGGTAAGAGATTCTTGATTCAAGAAATTGAATGTCCTCCCATTCCTTGGATCGAAGCTAATTGCATTCCATTACCTAGGTGCAGTATAACTCCTAAACTCTTCCTTCAACTGACCCTGTTAGAGAAACCAAAATTATATTCAGTATTTTCTTTATTTAATGTTAGTCCTGCTGTATAGTCCTTGTGGCTTAGCGCTTCTTTTTGATTATAATAATAATAATGTTAGTCCTGACCCCAGAACACCCTCCAGGTAGCATCAATAATGACTAATTTATTTTGAGAATTTTGTCCTTAACCTTTCTTGCCTACTGGGTATATCATTGGCTTGGGTGCCATACATCAGCTATTTCTTTCACACTGGTTACTGCCTCAGGTGTATCATGTGGATGTGTTCACTAGGACCTAGGCAAGGTCTACTTGACCTACAATAGGTGTTACATATATGCCCGCATATAAACTCATTGCACAGACAATGAGAACATTCACCATAAATTATTGTTTTAAACATTAAATATTGAGTCTGCTACAGATGTATTTAAATGTGTGCATATTTATGACACTTACTGTATCAGTTTAAGAATGTTTGCTCTATTTCATTTTCTGAATAGGCAATATTTTCCTTCCTATGGACCAGAAGGTAGCATAGTGAGTTTCAGTGAAGTTAGTCATTCCACTGAGCTTAAATGGGCATTTTTTGTCAAGCTGTCAGTGCACTGTTGTGATGTTTTGTATAATAAAATGGAATCTTTAAAAGAAAAGAAAACAGTGTGTGTGCATAAAATTGTCTTTCAAGCTGGGTAAAATGAGTAGTGATACTCTCAAAATGCTTCAGCAAGCATTTGGTGATGAAGCAATGGGTCAGAGACAGTGTTTTGAATGGTTTTCTTGTTTAAAAGCAGGATGGACATCAGTTTTGGATGAAGAACACTCTGGTCGTCCACCAGTGTCAAAAACAGATGCCAAGATTAAAAATGTGAGGAAAACTATTCAAGAAGATCATCATCAGAATATCTAGGACATTGAAAATGCTGTGGGAATCTCCTATATGAGTTACGTCAAAATATTTAAACTGAAAATATGAACACAAGGTGAGTGCCTGTGAAATTTGTTCCTCACCTACTGACTGAAGAACATAAAGGTCATTGTTTTCTGGCCATAAATAACATGGAAATCATCCCCACCCTCCCTACTCCCTGGATCTATTATTATTATTATAATCAAGGGGAAGCGCTAAACCCAGAGGATTATACAGCGCCTGGGGGGGGGATGTGGAAGGCATTCAGGCTTAATTCGGGGAACTGGAGCACAAATCCAATTCCCTAAATCAAGAGCCCCTCACCAACATCAAGGAACCTTCCTTGAGGGGTCCCTGGATCTAGCCCTCTGTGACTTCTTCTTTTCCCAAAAATATATATGGAAGTTAAGGGGCAGCATTTTAAAGACATAGAGGAGATTCAGGCAGAATCACAGGCCATGCTAGATGCTGTTAGAAAAGAAGTGGCAGAGGCACTGGGATCAGTGTATAGCCCCCCTTCAAGGGAGATTCCTTGACAGTGATGAGGGGCTTTTGATCTAGGGAATTGGATCTGTGCTCCAGTTCCCTGAGTTAAGCTTGAATACCTTCCACATCCCCCCCCCCTCACATGCGCTGTACAATCCTGAGTTTAGTGCTCCCCTTGAGCATAATAATAATCAGTGTATAGCCTCCCAAGGAGAGTTTTCAATAACACCTTCAATAAGGTGATTAGGTAAGCCTATATATATTTTTTTTTCAAGGAAGTTCAGGAACTTTTTGATAACACCTCGTACAACTGCAGTTGTACAAGGTGCTATTAAATTAAACTTGACTTTTTTTTGTGTGAGAAGTAATATCAGGCAGTTGGTTGAAATAAAACATACTTTCCAAAGCAATGAGGAACTGAAGGCCTCTAGCTCTATTTTCCTCAAGAGAGGGCCCTTGGTACAAGTGAGGGGCTCTTAATCCAAGGGACTGAATTTTATCTCCCTCAAGATCTATCTTTATTACTCTTAATGGTTTAGCACTTCCTCGTGTAAAAAGTTTAACCCCCTATGGGTTTAGTGCTCCCACTGTCCTGGTTAAAAAAATGAAGCTCTATTTCAACCCCATGTATTGCATTTGCGCAATATAAGCTTTTAATACTATAAAACTATGTAATGCTGCTCCTTTCCACTCTTCAGATTTCTACGGCCTGGGGAAAGCCGGTTGTTAACTCAATTGATTGTAAGCGTCTGGTTCTGATGGAGCTTATGTGTCGGATCTACCTCATCTAAGACTTTTTTGCTCCCGTTTTTATTTACAAAGGGAACTACTCTTTTCCCTTTAAACTCCCTTCCAACTTTAGGCACTATTCCTTCCCTAAAAGCTAGGAGGTAAATCTTCATAAGGATTAAGCTTTGGTGACTCAAAATCAATAACAACAACAATGAAAGGGCACTGTTGCGTGGTGACCCTTAACAACCCCTGCAACAACAACAACAACATCAACGTGACCCTGGCAAACCCAACAAAAATACACCAATAGCAATAATAACTTTTATATATATATATATAATGTCCGAGTACGGCAAAGTCAAAGTAGGAAAATTAAAGCTGAAAGGAGAAAAGAGGTAATGGAAGAGTTCATTACGGGACAAATCCATTACACTACCTGTTTATAAATTCAAGTCTCTTCTCAAAGATCACTTACTCACCCAAAACCAAATAAATACTGAATAACTGAACCTTATAAATTGTATATCTTAAATGTTTCTCACAATTATATCACATAAATGTTAAACCTAAAACCCAATCTAACTTTATTATTTTTTAAATACACTACCTAACAGAATACTCCATTCTACTGAATGTACAGCAATGCATGCAACCATATGACCTGTCTTTGTAATACTCACTTGTGCTTTATAGTAATCTGTTTACATTAATGTTTTATCACTGATTTCATCATTGCTTAGTTAATCTTAAGTTAATTTTAAGCCAGCCCGTAATGCTATGCATAGTATAAGTGGCTTTGGCATGCTGCTCTTATCTGTATTTTTTTGTACCTCTGTATGTGTGCTCAAATTGTAAATAAATAAATAAAAAAAATAAATAAATAAATAGCTGTTTGGCCCTAGTGGGTTTAGAGCTTTTTGATTATAATAATAATTTATATTAATAGCCATGTTATCTTTTGTATTGGAAAAGTACTTATTAGTTGTGGAACTTGTTTATTTAGGTGATAATAGGCAAAAATCAATATTTTATGCAAATTCTTTTTTATTAAGTGAATTTTGTATTGGACAATTGTCCAGGGGCCTCAACGGAATTACGTCTGACTTTTTTTTTCTGGGGATGGGGGAATTATCCTTGGTAATTTACATAAATAATCGTGTAAGGCAATTGTAATCAACCAAACACTGTAATTGTTCCTGAATAAACTTTCTTACTATATTTTAAAGTTAAACAAATAGGAAAGAAGATTTATTTTCATAAGTTTAACACCCTAACTCTACAAAACCTAACCTAGACAAGCTGTAAAACTGTCAGCTAGGTTAGATTAGGTTATATTAGAAAATGAGGTCTTTATCCGTAGGCACCAAACATATACATCTCCACTGCACAGTGCACTTAATGCTGGAGAATTTACATAAAAAAATACATACCTGGGAGTAAAGTACATATTGACCAAAGAATAGTACCAGTTTTCTGAATTTACATATTTGAATAAAAAAACTTGGAAGTTCTTATGTCAGTGAGATGGTGTTGTTCCAATGAATTGTACCTATTCTCCCCTTCCTTAAGATAAGATAAAATTTGTCTGGATTTTTAACATGGAAGGTTAGCCACCAGGATAATCCAAGAAAGTCGGTGCATCACTGAGGACTGTCTGTCTTATTTCCATTGGGGTCCTTCAAACTTGTACCCCAGGATGCGACAGACACCAGTCAACTAAACACTCAGGTACCTATTTGCTGCTAGATAAACAGGGACAGCAGGTGTAAGGAAACATGCCCAACGTTTCCACCCATACCTGGGACTGAACCATGGGCACTTAATGTATGAGGCAAGAGCATTGCCAACCAAGCTTCTGAGAAACTGGTTCTCATTAAACCAAGCTCTTCCACCAATAATAACAAACATCAAGAACAAACCAATAGCAAACAACAACAAAAGAACACAGCTATATATTAATTATGGTTATCATGATCAAGTTAATCTTTGTTGAATATATATGGTATATGAGGAAATAAATGTTTGCAGGTTTTTTGATATACTGGATGTGTTGTAAAGACTCTCAATAATGGTGGTATACATCTTAACAACCAACAATGTAAGGCACTGGAGGCAGTCTGAGTGATGAATGTCAAATGTAAAATATACCGAGAAGCAGCATGTGAATAAGACACAATACGCCATAAATTTCATATTGTGTCTTAGTCTTGGGGATGAGACAGATATGCAGTTGTTTCTGTAAATTTATTCAGACACAATAATGAGAGAATATAAATATCAACAGAACACTGAGCATATTACACATATCACATAATAAGTAAGTAAGTAAGTTTATTCAGGTATACACAAATACAGTTACATAGATTATCATAGATAGCAGCATATTTGTAGAGAACCTAGGATAACCCAAAAAAGTCAGACAGAGTGACTTATTTCCTGACTCAAGAAATCGTAATGACACGATTGCAAACAAACCATACCCCCGGCCGGGATTGAACCCGCGGTCATAGAGTCTCAAAACTCCAGCCCGTCGCGTTAGCCACTAGACCAGCTAGCCATAATAAGATTCATCCAACTAGGTATATTTCTACACCATAGGAAGGTGCTAACCTTCCTATGGTGTAGAAATATACCTAGTTGGATGAATCTTATTGTGGCTAGCTGGTCTAGTGGCTAACGCGACGGGCTGGAGTTTTGAGACTCTATGACCGCGCGTTCAATCCCGGCCGGGGGTATGGTTTGACTTATTTCCATTTGTCTCTACAATAAAGTTATGTGTAATGACCAACTTTTATCATCCCTTTTTAGTTGGTGTAAAGTATATACCAGAACAGTAGCTTTAGTGCATATACATGTACTAGTAGCAATAGTAGCTTTAAAGCATATACTAAGTATATACCAAGCATTAATTGGATCAAATGTGCTCTGCAACAAAATAAATGTACTGTTTACATTAATAACTCCCAAAAACAACAATTTCCATAAGATATATTTACTTATAATTATTCCCATATAATTTAAGTGCTGATTTTCAGGAAAGTAACCCAGATGTCACTCAAGGGTTTATTATATACCGTAGGTAATTACTCTGCACTATACACACTATTTTATTCTCATATTTCTCATCTACTTTGTACTTCACTATAGGTCTTCATTTCCTACAAGGCCTGTGCACGAAACACTGGGCATATCAGTTTCTCTAATCTAGAAGAAGAAATAGGCTAAATACAGATTATCATCTGATTTAGGCCCAGTACTTGACTACAGTAATAATTACAGTCGAACCTCAGTTATAGGCCATCTCGGAAATTGGCCAATTCGGAAATCGAGCACTTTTATTGGCAAAATTTTGCTCCGGATATCAGCCATGCTCTTGAATATAGGCTGTATGACATATGCCACCACCAACTGGTGATGCTCTTCCTCACGCGGATCACACTCAGTCTGTGCGTCTCTCTCACTGGATTAGTAATACTTCACAGCTTCATTCATTGTTTCTGGTATTTTTTTGTTGATTGCAACTGTGAAATAAGCCACCATGGGGACAAAGAAAGTTCAGAGTGCCAGCCCTTTGGTAAAGAAGGTGAGAAACATGATAAAATTCAAGAAAGAAGTTATAGCAAAATATGAAAGTGGCTTACATGTGTCGGACCTCACCAGGATGTATGGCAAATCAGCATCAACAATCAGTTCCATCCTGTTGAAGAAAGCAGAAATCAAGGAAGCTGATGTTGCGAAAGGGGAAAATATGCTAATGAAACAGAGGTTGCAAACAGTTGATTCTGTGGAGTTGTTGTTGTTGTTTGTGGATCAACAAGAAACAATTAGTGGGAGATAGTGTTTCAGAGGGTATAATTCACGAGAAGACAAGGCAGTTGCATGCGAATCTTGTAAAGAAATGCCAGGAACGAGTGCTGCTGTTGGTTCGACAGATTCAAGAAGCATAGTGGCATACAGTGTTGTAAAGGCACGGTGAGGCTACAAGTTCTGACAAATGTGAGGCCGAAGCATTCATTCATGAATTTAAGGGGTACATAAAGGCTGAAGAATTCCTCCCCCCAACAAGTGTTAACTTGTGATGAAACAGGCCTCTTTTGGAAGAAAATGCCAAAAAGGACCTACATCATGCAGGAGGAAAAGACGCTGCCAGGACACAAGCCTATGAAAGACAGGCTAACTCTCTTGTTCTGTGGTAACGCTAGTGGGGATTTCAAAATGAAGCTATTACTCGTGTATTACTCTGAAAATCCCCGAGTGTTCAAGAAAAACAATGTCATGAAGAGTAAATTGTGTATGATGTGGAGGGCTAACAATAAGGCATGGATCACGAGGCTAATTTTCAATGAAAAAATACCTCCAGGAAAAAAACTTGCCACTTAAGTGCCTCCTGGTACTGGACAGTGCTCCTGCTCATCCTCCAGACTTGGAAGACCAATTGTTTGAGGAGTGTAAGTTGATCAGAGTGAAGTTCTTGCCCCTTCATACCACTCCTCTCATCCAGCCCATGGACCAGCAGGTTATTTCAAACTTCAAAAAGCTGTACACCAAAGCAACGTTTCAGAGGTGCTTTGAAGTGACCTTGGACGCTGAATTGACCCTAAGAGAGTTCTGGAGGGATCACATAACTTGCATAAGCCTTATAGATAAGTCTTGGCAGGGAGTGACTTCCAGGAGTTTGAACTCTTCTTGGAGAAAATTGTGGCCAGATTGTGTCCTGAAGAAGGATTTTGTAGGGTTTAAGGCTGACCCTGATGACCCTACGCCTGTTGTAGAATGTATTGTATCATTGGGGAAGTCCGTGGGGTTGGATGTGAGTGGAGAGGATGTGAAAGAGTTGGTGGAGGACCACAGGGAAGAACTAACAACTGAAGAGCTGCAACACCTTCAACTGGAACAGCAACAGACTGCAGCTGAGGATATTGCTTTAGAGGAGGAAGAGAGGAGGGAGAATGTGCCTTCATTGATCAAGGACATTTGTGCAAAGTGGAGTGACGTGCAAAGTTTTGCGGAGAGTTATCACCCCAAAACTGTTGCAACCTATGTCTGCAACATGTTCAATGACAATGTCTTGTCCCATTTTAGGCAAGTTTTACAGAGATGCCAGAAACAGGCCTCTCTGGACAGATATTTTGTGTGACAGGGGTCCAGTGACTCTCAAGCTGGTCCTAATGCCAGTAAAAGACAAAGAAGGGAAGTAACCCAAGAGAGGGCTTTGAGACCTAAAATCCTTATGGAGGGGGATTCCCCTTCCAAACAATAATCAGTCCTCCCTCTCTCCTCGCCTTCTTCCATATGCCAACAAGAGTCTTCAGTAAAGGTATGTAATGTTCATTTATTATTAAAATTACTGTATTTCTTTCTCATTGTTTTGTGTATGTAAAACTATAGCTAATCTTTAAAAAATGTATTTTTTGTTAATGTTTTTGAGTGTCTGGAACGGATTAATTATATTTACATTATTCCTTATTGGAAATATTGATTTGGTTTCAGGCCATTTCAGATTTAGGCCAACCTTCTGGAATGGATTATGGCCTATAACCGGGGTTCCACTGTATTACCAAAAAATAGCCACTATTGTGAGAAGTAGTATCCCTTTGGTAGTGTTATCATTAAGATATAAGCTCATCCTATCTGCAGTTAGGCAGCTTAATGCAGGTTGTCATCTCTCATTGGACCTCAACTGTGTTTGTATGTTTCCTTTCGAATCATTCTACCAACAAGGTAGGTAGAGGTGATGACTTGTGATCTAAATTTAGATTTTCCCAACAGGTCCCATAAAAAACACAAATCCAAGAAAAGGAAATCAGAAGCTGAAGATGGCAACCTTAGCAGTGGAGGTAGTAAGGACACAGATACTGCTGACCATGGTGGTTGGTGGCACTGCACTGCCCTACATCAGGTAAAACAGAATGGATACCAGTAATTTCTTAAATATTTCATTTTCAACATCAGAATAGTCATATGACAAGTGCTTTTGTGGTTTGGTCAGTTACAGCCCTTCCTAACCTCATTCAACATGAAGGAGAACCACAAAGATGTGTACTCTGCATTACAGTACTATGCTCCTAATTACCATAACCATGCTCCAAATTGCCATCATAACCATGCTTCTAATTACCATCATAACCATGCTCCTAATTGCCATCATAACCCATGCTCCTAATTGTCATCATAACCATGCTCCTAATTGCCATCATAACCATGCTCCTAATTGCCATCATAACCGTACTTCTAATTTCCATCATAACCATATTCCTAATTGCCATCATAACCCATGCTCCTAATTGTCATCATAACCATTCTCCAAATTGCCATCATAACCATGCTTTAATTACCATCATAACCATGCTCCTAATTACCATCATAACCATGCTCCTAATTGCCATCATAACCCATGCTCCTAATTGCCATCATAACCATGCTCCTAATTGCCATCATAACCATGCTCCTAATTGCCATCATAACCGTGCTTCTAATTTCCATCATAACCATACTCCTAATTGCCATCAATGGACTCTCCTGTATTCTCCCTTATGGGATTTTTTCTCTATAGTGTGTGGATGATTTTACAATTGCTTGTGCTGACACTGACAGTCAGTGGTCATTAATGACCACATCCAGTTGGGCCACATCAAATGTCTTCAAGTTTCCTGTTATAATAATGAGTTTTATATATAACTTTTTCATAGTCTTTGCTTCAATTTTCTAATGCCATGGAAACATCATATAGTCTCCCTTAAAGCTGAGTGTCTTATTAGATGAACTTTGCTCAAAATATTTTCTCATTTGTCTCTTCATCTTCATTCAACCCTAATGTTATCTTAACTAGACTATGGGAACAAGGTATATTCCAGTGCTTCAGCATTGACTTTTGCTCTGCTGGATGGTATTCATCATCAAGAATTCTTCAAGACTACAGTACTCTTCACAAACTCCAAGGTTGAGGGACTGATTGCCTCATCTTTTGTATGTATTGAGATACCCTTTGTGATCCTTTGGCTTGTAGTCTTCTCATTCCATATATTGTTAATGCTAACAGTTTCAGTCACTGCCCCACTTTATTGCATCCCTTTAATCTATAGGTTAGGTTAGGTAAGGTTTGTCAGGAAACAGGACAAATGTTTCCTGACGCGGGTCTTAGTCAGATGATGACCCGCCTTTGGAGCTTTTGGTCATCTGACCAAGGCCTTCCGCTGGCTTACCGGTCCACCCGTTTAAAAATTATGGTCACGTAGAACCATTTTTGTAGTAATAACCTTTAATCTATGCTTGCAAACTATATGAGTTCCTTGATCTACCTTATCTTTCTGTTCCTCCTGTATCTTACTTCTCCCTCGCACCCAGGGAAGTCTATCGTGAAATTCTACCATCATTCATTCCATTGACTAAGCCTCACTTCTCTTCTCATTGAGCTTTTGATCATATTTCTTGATAATCTACAGTCACACACAGATACTACTGTTGTGCATGCCGATGGCTCCAAATCCTGCAATGGAGTGGAATGCATTGCTATTTTACCTGATAATGTGATATAAGAAAAATGCTTCTTTATTGTAGTACTGTATTTTCACAAAAATTATACACACTTCATGTTGTCATCATCCATATCACCATCATGTCAGCCTCATTATTTGTTGTAGCCTCATATTTTGCAGTGCAAATTATTTATATCAGTAATTTCTCACATAACTTGTATAAATAAAAAGTAGATTATGTATTAGATTTGCATTTGGTGCTAGCTGCATCACATCTCTGGCAAATGCTAAATGTTCATACTAATCGGAGATGCTGTGCAGTTCAAGACCCCAATCTCCAGACAGTTGCCATTTTTGATTATTAATTCTGACCCGTGATGTCATTTTGTCTTGGAGTCTGTGTTAGGAAAAAAAATGAACTGTCAGCTGTAGGAAACCATACTCTTGTAACTGTGTGTTAACCATATCAGGCTCACATGGTCATTTTATGGAACAGCACCCATCACCACTTCAAGAATTCTCAGATCATGCTAACAGTCCAATATCATGTGATTAAACTGTATTTAACAGATGTCCACATTCATAAAAGATCACAGTGACTTTTTGACCTCTCTCTGAAAGCCCCACCTTTAATGCACATTCTCTGTACAGTATCTTTTTAACTGAAACTGATTTATCTCACTGACTGTTACTTCCTTCTTTTGGCCTTATTCTTACCCTCAACACTTTTACATCTTTTCCTCTAAAGCCAGCCACCCGTGTTGTCATGCAGTGCTGAGTGATCCATGTGGATTTAACTGTGATAACATCCTACTGCACATTATTGTCTTCTTTTAATAACTTGAATGCATCATATGGCTTGAATGTCTTTCCTAGTGTTATCAAGACTGTTTCATCACACTCACACCCATTTCTTTGACATGATGTTAGATATTTGTACACAACTGTATAGTGTGGTTACGAATTTAATTCAGCTTTGCAACAAGCATGTTTGTTTTAAGTCCATTTATCTTGATACTAATGTTGAGTAGTTATGAAAAATAAATGCAAATACAGACAGTCCTCACTTAATGCCCTACCTGTTTAACAACTGTGCGGACTTACGATCAGCTCTCCGACCAGTCTGCGTACTGTATACAGTACAGTCGATGTACTGTATACATTATAGTATACGGTACACTACTGTATAAACATTTAAAAGTATACTAAAAATGTTATAAATGGTGTAGAGATGACATTAAAACAATATCTGAAAATGGTTGACAGAAACCCACTACCAATACAGTATGCTTGAAATTTCGGTAAGGGGTGGCTCCTTGCTTATCAACCAATTTGCTTAACAACCTAGTGATAGGAACAGAACTTGGTCGTTAAGTGAGGAGTGCCTGTACTGTATTATGGAATCAATGATCCAATGGTCTAATAGCGAAAGATGTGTGAGCAGACTCAACATTCATCTTTTTTTTTTGTTGTTTTTTATTAAAAATACTTTCCTCCTCCATACTAGATTCTTAAACTATAGAATTATACAACTTCAGTTTTATTTTACTTTATTGCCACCTACCTCATTGCATATGTATTTATACTACTTATTTATTTCTTCAATCAACAGATGACCGGAGCTTTGGCTATACAGCTGGGCACATCACCTATATATGTACGAGCACTTGACAATGGTTTATTCACTGCCGGTGCCCCTCATGATCAAGGTAACATTACAGAACTTTCTACAAATATGCAGTTACAGACTGCCCATATGCACACATAATGCATATGGATTTATACATGCCAGTCATTAAGTTGTCAGAACTTAGTGCTTATCTTTGTTAATACTATATTGTCACACTTTCTATAAAAACATTTGTCTTGATCAGTACTGAATTAATCAGTGATTTTTTCTTTTTCAGGTGATGGTCCGTCTCCAGAAGAAGTGTTAACTGCAGTACCAGCTGGTGATGATCGTATTGCATTAAAATCTGGTTACAATAAGTATCTGGGTGTTGATGGAACAGGCAGAGTTGTAGGCCGTGCAGATGCAATTGGTCCTAGAGAAATGTGGCATCCTGTCTTTCAGGTTGGTTAACAGTTGAGTTTCTCGTATTTTTTCATGCAACCTTCAGCAACCTTGTCTGATTTGTTAATACTACATAGATTTGAATACTGTTCCAAGGATTTGTAAAGCAGGCAAGCTGACCTGTGAATCTCTTAATTCTGGAAGATCTCCAATAACTAATCCCTATTGTCTTACCATTCCCTGAGATCCTGCGACCTCCATCCAGTCTATTATTTCTCCCTTAACTATACCCTAACTCACTTTCACCTTAAAAATGTCTTATTGCTAAGCCACACTACCAATAGAATTCAACTTCAGTTTTTTTTTACCCCCATATGGTCAGTGTCAGTGCACAGTGTGAATAAAAGCACACTTTCTCTTGCTCCCTCCCATTAATAGTAGCAGTCATGGAGCCCCAACCCACTTTGCCAGCACTTCTAGTATTTGGCCACCCAGGTAAGTGCTGTATTACGAATTGACTGCCATGTGTCATATGGGACTCTGCATTTTACTTAATATGTTAATAAAATCACAAAGAATACACGAGTGAGCACAAACAATAAACTGGTGCTTGATGGCCTATAGCTCAATGAACAATGAAAATGGACAGGTCCTGGACGTGGCTGCTATGGCCCATACTGAATAAACGTTGGAGTCAGCAGATTTGGCCCAATACTTCAGAAGACAACCAGACACTATCGCTATAGACAAAATGTGGAATTACGGACTTTTGTTCATTTTGTCTAGTAATTAGATATAATTTTTTTTGTCCAAAAATATCAAAACCCATTAATGAGAGGCTTTATTCTAATGGTTTTTCCATCGTACTTTTATGCTGTTAATGTTCTGCGGTGACTGGTGATAGCACGTTTGCAAATTTCTTGAATATAAGTCTGGGTAATTCAACCTGTTTTGTGTTGCACCAGTAGCATACAAGTACATATTCATATGGAATCATTAACCCTTTGAGGGTCGACAGGCCCTCTCCGAGACTCGTTCTCAGGGTCGGCCAAATTTAACCCTTTCAGGGTCCATGCCGTAGATCTACGGCTTTATGTTCAGGGTCCAAACCGTAGATCTACGCCATGAGCTCAGGTCACTCTGATAAGCTGTGGGTGATAAATTTGGGCCTAGATATGAGAGAATACATCTATGTGGTATGTGTGCACCACATAAAACAAATCCTGCAGCACACAGCGTATAATGAGAGAAAAAACTGAGACCGGGATTTTCGATTAAAACAGCGACTTTGCAGTGTTTTTTCGTATGTTTTTTATAGTTGTATTTGCGATTTCTTGGTCTCATTTGATAGAAATGGAAGATATATTACAGAAATAGAGATGATTTTGATTGGTTTTAGCACTGGAAATGGCTTGAAACTGAGCTCAAAGTAGCAGAAATGTTAGATTTTTGTCGATGTTCAAGAGTAAACAAACGACCTCACACGTCTAATACACACCAGCTGGTGGGTCTAATACGTATACATTCACAAATGTGTTGATGATATTTATACAATTATTACAATATTGCATAACAGTAAATCTTCTATTTTTTGGTTTGAATAAAAATTCATTATGTGAATAAAAAATCAAAATGGAATTCATTTGTAAAGCCTCAAAACGTAACTAATGAACAGAGGAAATGTTAGTTTAGTGCCAGGAATGTCTGCATTGTTTATTCTGGACCCTGTTTTGAAATTGGAATATTTTGAACTTTGTGTTAAATTGGCCAAATTACCAATTTCCGATCACTTTATTTTGTAGTTGAAACAGTTGACTGGGCGATTTATTGTCCTCAATCGATAGAATAGAAGTAATACTAGTGAAATAGCTAAGAATTTGGTCGACTGGAATAATGTAATTGGCCTAAAATGGGAGTCAAAGTCGGCAAAATCGCCAATTCGTAAATATTGCTGACACATCAAAATTTGCGAGAGCATAATTTCGTCAATTTTCCATCAAATTTCGCACTTTTTGTTTTATTACCTTCAGAAAAAGATTCTCTACTATTTCATAAGAAAAAACATCAATTTTTTTTTTTTTTAATTCTTGGACCCTGGTGCGCACTTTGAAATTTGGTCTCTGGACCCTGAAAGAGTTAAAGAGAAAAAATTAATTTTTTCTTATGAAAAGATAGAGAATCTTTTCCCGATCATAATGACACCAAAAGTATGAAATTTGATGGAAAACTTATGGAATTATGCTCTCGCGAAGTTAGCGGTCTCGGCGATGTTTACGCATCGGCTATTTTGCCCACTTTCAGCCCCATTTTCGGCCAATTCCACTGTACTAGTCGACAAAAAACATGAATATTTCGTTAGAACTCCATTTTTTCTATCGAATGAGTGCAAGAAACCCCCCATTTATCAATTTCAACTATCCAATACAGTGGTCAGAATTTAGCAATTTTGCCAATTTCACACAAATTTCCAAAGATGCCAATTTCCGAATAGGGTCCAGAATAAACAAGAAAGATATTCCTGGCACTAAAATGACATTTCCTCTGTTCATTAGTCACGTCTCAAGGCCCCTCTTACATTCTTTTGCTTTCCACTTTGAATTTTTATTCTCACAAAAAATAGAAGATTTACTGTTATGTAGACTACTGCATTAGTGTAAAAAATGGTATAAATAATATTGGCGCACTTGCAAAAGAACATTAGACTCACCAGTTGACGTGTATTGGACACTTGGCATGATTTGTTTACTTTTGAACTTTGGTAAAAATCGAACATTTCTGCTGCTTTGAGCTCAATTTCAAGGTACTTTTCATTGTAAAACCAGTCAAAATCATCTCAATTTCTGTAATATGTCTTCCATTCTATAAAATGAGACCAAGAAAACTAGAATACAACAATAAATACCATACGAAAATACAGTGCAAAGTCGTTGTTTTATTCCAAAAAAACGGTCAGTTTTTTTTTCTCATTATGCACTGTGTGCTGCAGAATTTTTTTTATACTGTGCACACTGACCACATAGACCCATTCTTTCATATGTAGGCCTACCAGATTTTTCCCACTAGATTTGAGGGCGCTAGAATTTAGGCGTACTAGTACGTCAAAAACCCTGGGTCGTAAGCCGTACTAGTACGGACGAAACCCTCAAAGGGTTAAATGTGTAAAGGTCATACAACACCTGGAAATGGGAGTTAATCAAGTTTAATCTAAGGAAAGGAGAGTTGCTCTAGTTACTTGGATCACTAACTCTTAACCATCATCAAGGCACCCCATCAAGGCTAATACTATTTTTGTCATTTTGGATGTGATTGAAGCAAAGTATCAGGAGTTAAGGTAGTTGCTTGTTGGAGCACAGTTTAAGAGATTAGGGTAGCTGCATGTCAGAGCTAAGTACTAGGAGTTAGAGTAGCAAAGAATGTGGAATTAGGATAGTTGCTTGTAAAATAGTTTCTGACAAAGGTCAGAGAGTCATATCCAGCATGGGTGAGACAGCCGTTCACACTCAGTGTTGCGACAGCCGATGTCAGTGATGAATACCTCGACGAAATCATTGAACTTCACCAGAGCTAGGCTCAACAGCAACTCTTCAGAACAACAACACTCTCAACCTTTTGGTGTCACCAAATTATAGCGTACCCTCTTATTGCTAAGAAAGCCCTTGAGATACTCATGCCGTTTGTTACAACATATCTTTGTGAGTAACAGACTTTGTTGCGAAAATGATATGAGAGTGGCACTTGCCACTCTCATATCATGAACTTGTTTCTGAAAGGCAACAACAAAAGTCACATTGATTTGCTGTTTTGATTAAAATCATATTTTGAAGAAATCATATTCCATTTTTCCAGTTACAAAGGGTTCAGTGAATGCACAGATGAAACTTGCGGGGTTCAGTACCTCCAACAAGGTTAAGAACCACTGGTTAAGGGTCTGGAACTTTTGGTACCTATGTCTCACCTTATTATTGAGATGAGGCTGCTGGGAATTCTACATTGCATATTACTGGCAGCCTATATACATATTGTAAACATACAAGATTGAATAGTGCAAGCAGCAAATTTGTTTGTACTTATTACAATGATGATGCTATTAATAGCACTCTTGATTTTTAGGATGGAAAAACTGCATTGCTAGGTGCCAATGATTGCTTTCTTGGTTTGGATGAAGATGATAACGTAGTGGCAACAAATTCCAAGGCAGGAACTGAACAGATGATAATGATACGCTCCAACACACTCAGGTAAGGAAAGCCAGTATTTTAATCATCTTACCATATCAAATAACGGATAACTAATTTCTTAATACAGTACAGCCTCTCCTCACTTAATGACAGAGTTCCGTTCCTTAGACTGTGTCATTAAACAAATTCATTGCTAAGTAAGGAGCATACTATAATGGTAGTGAGCTTGTGTCAACCATCTTTGATATTGTTTTAATGTCATCTTATATTGTTTTAATGTCATCTTTGCACCATTTATAACATTTCTGGCATATTTTTAAATGTTTATACAGTAGTGTACTGTATATTGAAGTAAACAGAATAGAGGAAATCAGCTCTAATATACATTATTTAGGTATGAATACTGATCAGAGAGCCCGTCATAAGTCTGAGGCATTGGTAAACGAGTACGCCGCTAGGTGAGGAGAGGTTGTATTGTAATTTTGTTTTTCTGTCTATTCAAAACCTTTTATTTCACAGTACATACTTGATTAGTCCTGTGATTAGTTTTCTGCTTTGATTATCTACTTCTATCTCACAAATATTTACAAATGTGTCAAAATGCTAGTTGGAAAATTGAGCAGACAAAAATTTTAAATTATTGTTAAATGAAAGAAAAAGCAGTTATGTACACAAACATCACAAAGATAAAATGTAATACTGAATTGGTATACTGTAGTCTATCAGAAACCTGTGACTTTTATTTACTAAAAATCCCCCCTCTCTGCCTTTAAATTGATGATTGTAAATAAGCTAATAATAAGAGTTAATAAATATTATTATCAAGAGAAAGTGTACTTCTAAGAACACCTGTAGGTGTCGTACAGCTCCTGGAATGGTATGTAATCAGATTTGATCCAAGAAAGGGAATGGTAGCTTCAATTCCTTGGATCAAGAGCTCTTCAGCATTAAGGCACTGTAATAAGAAACAGGAGCATCTGAGGACAGACAATATTATTACAGGGGTGCAAGAAATAGAGTACAAGAGATTGTAGGGAAGCCATTTCATCAAGTGTGGGTACAGGAGTTTGAATGGTCACCAAATGTATCACTCCTGTAATGAGAATTATTCCAGCTCTATGACATGAAGTAAAGGGCTGGGTGAGTTACTTGAAATAAGAAAAGACTATTGAAAACTGTTTCTTGATGTTTTCTTAAAGAAAACTTGCTAGGACTTTTATGATTATTAAGCACTTTCTGCACCAATCTCTCTCTCCCTCTCTTTGTATCTGAGAAACAAGTGTTATACTGCACTGTAAACAAACCCTGGCACTAAAAACTTACTACTGTTTGACTCATTTTGTTCTTAGGGGTACACGACTCTATTATAAAGACATTTTTCTGAAGGATGGGTGTCTTATTCACACTTTTGATAAAGATTCATTGTTCTACCAGAAAAGTCATTAAATTCACTCCCAATCCAGAGATATGAGAAGTCCACTATTTTCTGGTACTACTTTCTCCATTGTTATTGGTTATGAAAAACAGGACTTTGTTTACTTGCTCATTGGATACACCAGTTTTGCAGATGTCTTCTGAGGGAGCGGTGACTTGAGTCTCTCTCTGAGAGATTGCAGGTAACTCTTTGAAAATTGGCAAATCATTCTGACAGTCCAATATGTTTTGATAGCGTCCCGTTCATCAAGGAGCACACCAACTTCACTTAAGATACCTTCTTCAGTGCCTTGAAATGCTTACTCTATTTGCCTGTCTTTTTGAGAGTCTCTCCTTTAATCCAGATGTGTTCTATTTCATGATTCATGCTAATTTGTTATACTGTACCAACTTTGACCTATTCTTACCATTGTTCTCCTAATATCTTTAATGTTCGCTAGTTAGAGAGCAAAAAAGCATCAGTCATGCCAGTGTACAACAAACAGGCTTCTGTTTTATCACTCAGATGATAGTACTACCAGGACTGTTACCCCTACCTTAAATATTGAAATATATTTAAGGTATGATATGATGACATGAATGGTTATCCTTAAGTACATTGATTTGAATTGTATTTACTGTGTTAATTATTGTTTTTTTTTTTCTAGGGAATGTGACAAACCTAAAGAAATACCTGAGGAAGAGCGTGGAAAGCTAAAAGATGTTGAGCGAAATTATGTTAAGAAGTTTCAAAAATTCCAAGATAAGCGTCTACGTATCAACGAAGATGGTGTGACTGAACTAAAGTCTGCTCGAAATGAGGGCTGCTTACATGAGGTTCTTCTTGATCGTCGTGCAAAGATGAAAGCAGATAGATATTGTAAATAATAATTAAGAAGTTTGAAATGGTGCAAAAAAAGAAAAAGGCACAGTGTACACAAAGTTTCAAGCAACCATGGACTTCACTGCTGCCAGTGTACAATCTGCTGAAATACTTAGTACAATATACTGAAATACATCATCACTTAAATCATGTCTTATTTCTTAACAGTGAACATTAGGAAAGTATTGCACTTTTTATTAGCTATTGCACTTTGACAAAAATTTTGAGTGTGTAACACATTAAGTATGTATTCATTTACACTGTCTCCCATTCAGGGGAGTGCTGTGATTCTGGTGAAGGGCTCATGATCTCAGGAATTGGAGCTACTCTTTCCTTCCTTAGTTCAAACCTGATTGTCTCCCATTCCTCAGTGGTGTACAACCCATACATGTAGGTTTAGCACTTTCCCATAATTACTGTTTAATAATTATAAATTATCCCATTAATAATTAAAAGGCACAATACCAATACTGGAACAATTCACAAATAACTTGCACATAGGAGAATAAAACTCATGACATTGTCATATGTGCAGGTTAATTGTATATATGATCCCGTGTTTACAGTATATGATGACAGCATCAGTATGGGAAGTGGTAACTATTAACATATGAATATGCTGATGACAATTTCCGTAACCATAACTACCCCAGCAAACCTTGCTAGCCATTATCACAAAAGTAAGTCTCATTAGTTACAGATAGTGGCACGCCTGAATGTTGGCCTAGGTATTTTTAATGCTTGATAGCACCAGTTTTGAACCACCAATTTAAATTTGCTGGTTAGTATACATTGTACTCTATATAGCATATACAGTGGACCCCCGCTTAACAATCACCTCCCAATGCGACCAATTATGTAAGTGTATTTATGTAAGTGCGTTTGTACGTGTATGTTTGGGGGTCTGAAATGGACTAATCTACTTCACAATATTCCTTATGGGAACAAATTTGGTCAGTACTGGCACCTGAACATACTTCTGGAATGAAAAAATATCGTTAATCGGGGGTCCACTGTATTATTCTAAATACTACTGTAGTTAAAATAAATGCAGAATAATAAATTGGATAAGTGCAAATGTGCAACAGATATGATTTTTTTATTATTATTATTATTTAAAGTCAAATTTTACAAATAAGCAAGAAATGATGTAGAAACTGATTATTATTATTATTATTATTATTATTATTATTATTATTATTATTATTATTACTAGTATTATTATTATTATTATTATTTTATTATTGCATATTATGATTGGTTTCATGGAGAAGTGCTAAATGTAAAGGGTTTACAAAGCACCTCATTAAAACACAAGATAGTTTTAATACAAAAATTTTATTTTTATATCCATGCTTGCTACCCATGCATCATGGGGTTAAGGAAACATTCATGGTGATCAAGAAATCTGTCAGTAAATAAAGAAGCCTTTGAAAGTTTTATATAGTCTTTCATGTTAAGAGTAGGAAAATATTGAAAATCTGCTTTGGCTATGTTGGATTTTAAGAAATTCCAAAATACTGAGATAAAGTTTGAAAATAAGATTAATGTGTATTTCTTCATGTAGTGCCCTTCATTAAATGAATAATTTTCACTGAGGGGAGAATTTGTATGATTCCTATAGTACCACACCTGAGAAGTATGGCTTTGTAATAAGCAGTGTCCATTTTTGTAATTGTATGATTCTTAATCCTAGGAATTGAACATGAGTGCCTCCCAGTACCCCCAGGTGTTATATGACCCCTATATGTTTAATGCTTCCCCATGAACATAATAATTTGATATGGCTCTTTATTTGACTAAAGTTTCTAAACTCTTCCATCCCATTAGGTACAACATATTGTGAATATTTCAGATGGTTCTAATCAGTTCATGGCACTGAACCGGCATGATATTTGTCATAACTAGACAGTAGGTTTTTTTTTTAAATATTTGCAGTCATTCATTCCTTAACCCATTTTGATTGTCCCATTTAACCCTTTGACTGTCGCAAGCCCTTTTCCAAAATTTTTGGAAAAAAAAAATATTATTTTTTCTTATGAAATGATAGAGAATCTTTTCCTGATGGTAATGACACCAAAAGTATGAATTTGGTCGAAAACTCGCGGAATTACGCTCCCGTGAAGTTAGCGGTCTCGGCGACATATACGCATCGGCGATTTCGCCGAATTTGAGCCCTGTTTTTTGCCAATTCCGTTGTTCCAGTTGACCAAACTCATTGCTATTTCTTTAGAACTCCATTTTTTCTATCAGTTGAGGATAAGAAACCACCCATTTACCGATTTGAACTACCCAATAAAGTGGTCAGAAATTGGCAATTTGGCCAATTTCACGTAAATTAAAAAAGATGCCAATTTCAAAATAGGGTCCAGAATAAACAATGTAGACATTCTTAGCACTACAGTAACATATCCTCTGTTCATTAGTCACATCTCTTGGACCCTCTATTACTATTGCTTTCTATTTTGATTTTTTATTCATACAAAAAATACAAAATTTACTGTTATGCAGACTACTGCATTATTGTAAAAATGGTATAAATAATATCAGTGCACTAGTGAAAGAATATTAGACTCCCCAATTGACGTGTATTGAACGTGTGGTGTGATTTGTTTACTCCTGAACATTGGTAAAAATCGAACATTTCCGCTAATTTGAGCTCAATTTCAAGGTCGTTTTCATCGTGAAACTAATCAAAATCATCTCTATTTCTGTAATATGTTTTCCATTTTATCATGTAAGACCATGAAAACGAGAATACAACAATAAATACTATACGAAAATACACCTCAAAGTTGGCGTTTTAATCCAAAAAACGGTCAGTTTTTCTCATTATGCACTGTGGTGCACACTGACCACACAGACCCATTCTCTCACATGTGGGCCTACCAGCTTTCTCCTGCTTGATTTGAAGCCGCTAGAATTTATGCATATTAATATGTCCGAAACACTGGCTCATAAGAAGTATATATACGACCAAAACAGTCAAAGGGTTAACAAAGAGCTCATAGAGTTCATTTTTGACCTTTTTTTCAACTCGCCCGTAGCTTCACTGTCTATCCTCTTGGAAAGCCCCACCTTCAATGTAGATTTTGATTTCTTAACTGAACTGACTTAAAATTCTAACTCTGACCTTCCCCTTTCATATGTAAACACACCCTTCACACTTCTTTCCCCTGTCTTCATCTCTCTTGTGTCATTTGTTGTTGTATGACCCACAAAGTGTGAGTGCAGTTTTGTGCACACAATATACGTATGAATACTTACATTTGTTGAATCCAGGGCCTACAAGAAGGGTAATTTTGCATTAAGGAAGGTTTATTTGTTTAAGTGCTGTTTAAGCCCCCTTTTTCTAATTTTATTAGAAGGTGCAGGGCTCTTTGACAAAGGGAATTGAGATCTATTTTCCTTTCCTGAGATTAAACTTAAATACCTTCCCACGCTTGTAACTTTATTTGAATTGTGTCGAGTAGACTTTACCTTGTGCCACTGCTAATACTGCCATTGGTGCAGATGGCACTGGGCACTGCTGTTCTCATAATTCAAAATCATGTCTGATAATCCCACTCTTTCTGCAGATACTTTGCTCCACTTTCCTACCTCACGTATGTTCTTTCTTTCCCCCAATCTTCTGCCTTTTTTCTATCTTCCATTGTTCTCTTAGCACCTCCACCATTGCATCTCTTTAACCTTGAATGAGCCAGATATCTCACATTTCCCAATGCTACATAACCCCTATGGGTTTAGTGCTTCCTCATGAATATGATAATAATGTGGAAAGGTTTAGTGGCTCCCCATGAATACAATACAGTAACAGTTAAACCTCACTTTAAGAGACTAATGGGGGAGAGGGTGTCGGCTAATGCCCTTTGTTCCGTAAACCAAAATAATGTTAAAAAAAAAGAAGTACTACAATACATACTGTATTGTTTACATAATACAGCACCAAACAAATTTTATAGTTATACATGTAGTACTGTAATCAACACTAAACACGAAGGATTTTATTAGATCTACTATAATAAAAATTGACAATAAAAGATTTTAGAATTATTTTATTTACCTCTTCTCAGCACTGTGTAACCCTTTTGGGTTTAGTGTTTGATTTGATTATAATCATGAAGGTAATATTTACCTTTTGTGGTGAATTGTTGAAACTGTTTTGCAGTGATAATGATGGACAGTTCTGTCCCCAGCAGATTTTGTCCATTTATTTTCAAAATTTCTGTAATGGATGTTGCAATATATTTAGCCCAGTTCTGCACCATACACTTGGGCTCTCAGTCCATGGAAATGTAACTAGTCTCTCCTGCCTTGGATTAAATCTGGTTGCCTCCCATTCTCTGGGCACTCTATGACCCCTACAAGTCTAGCACTCGATTTATGAATGCAATAATAACACACGTACCCCTTGAGCGAAGTTCCTTGATGCCTAAAACAGGCTCTTGAGCCAAAGAATTGAACCTGTTCTTCCCTTCCTTGCAGTTTAGCATTTTATTTGATTATAATAATTCTTCCCTTCATTGGAGTGAACCTGATTGCCTCTGACTCCGGTGCTGTACGAATCCTACTGGATTAGCGTTTCCCACTAATGTAATCACTATGTGGCCTCAGTTTTGCTGCAGACTGTATAACCCTACGGGTTTAGTGCTCCCATGGTTATAATAAAATTTGCTGCAGAGCAATTTATACTTCGGGAGCAGTGAATGAGTCATTCCCATACAGTGCCAGCCAATTAAAACATTGTAATTATTAACCCTTAAACTGTCCAAACGTAGATCTACGTTTTTTTAACATTTGAAAGTATGTAAAAAAACGTAGACCTTTTTTTTACACTTGAAAATGTAAAAAAACTTTGATCTACATTTCTTTTTTTTTGTTATATTTGAAAATATGTAAAAAAAACGTAGATCTACTTTTGGAGCACTATGCATGTGAACGTAGATAACAGGTGCAAACTCAAACTCTTCAAGGGTTTGACACCACTGAAGGGCTCTTGATTAAAGGAATTGGAGCCATCTTGCCTTGAAACAAACTTGATAACCACCTAGTTTTGACGCTGTATGACCCACATGGGTTTAGCGCTTACCTACGAATATAATAATTATATCTATTTTTAATTCATTAATAATACTTTTGTAAGTCAGCTTCAGAGAAAGCGCTGAAGTTACCATGACAACTGTTCCAGTCCCCATGGCAAAAGAATCATGGTAACAGTATACCATCATGGCAACAACATCGCCCTCACCATGGCAACAGCATCTGTCACCATAACAACAGCACCTCCGTCACCATGGCAACAGCATACTAATTATTGTGGCAACAGTATCAAGGTAACATACTACCAAGGAAATAGCATCAAGGTAACAAGATACAACCATGAGAACAGCAAGGCAAATCTCCCATCACCATGACAAGGGCATCAAGGTAACAGAATTCCATCATTGCATCAGCATTTTCGCCATTATGGCGAGAAGAGAAGTGCAACTGCAAGTACAAAATTTTAAAAAATATTGAAAACTCACATTCTTATAACATTTTTAAGTTTCCGGAGCTGAGTGAATTCTTTATAATAATTATTATTATTGTTGTTGTTGTTGTTATTAAACACTGCATGGCGTGATGTCAGATCATTTCATCTGCCAGATATTGATTACTCGTACCATCCAAGGTTTTCGTTAATAACTTCAGACTGCCTTATTCCATCGGCTTAATATTTTAAACCCTGAATAACTATCACTAGGTGATGGTTAGTAAAGCAAATGAGTGTGGGTGGTAAGGTTATATTAGGTAAGATATGTCAGGAAACAGGACGAGTGTTTCCTGACGCGGGTCTTAGCCATATGATGACCCACAGCTGGAGCTTTAGGTTATCTGACTGAGGCCTTCCGCTGGCTCACCGGCGCACCCTCATTAAAGATTCAGGTTATAGTTATGTGCTGGTGCTCTCTGCTCAATTTCATAGAGACGATTCCCCAAATTGATTTCCACGAGTGTTATACAGAAGCTTGGACTTGATAACGGCCGCTTTACTATTGCAGGTATCGCTGACACATCTGATTGTTATTACAGGTTATGTAGTCACATATATACATATACATATGGTGGTGGTTTATAGTACTGAGGATAGTGGAGTGTTGCAGATGGCTGTGGTGGTGGTGGTATTATTATTATTATAGTAGTAGTGGTGGTGGTGGTGACAGATACACTATACACTTGTATGCATGAACATTTTCAGTATATATACATACATTTTGCATACAACTGTACATATATACATACCTAAATATGCAAAACTGTACTTACATGTAAACACATTCACATGCATTAATGGACTCTTATATAAATATACATATTAATATATGTACAAAAAATACATACATGCTTACATTCTCATACATACATATGCACATGTGCATACGGAAGTATAGAAAAGTACATGCCTGAATAAATATACAGATTCATACATCTGGACGTGCATGCAACACAACATATATATATTATTTTTATATTTATTATATATTATAATAATATATATTATAAA